CTCCTATTGTAAAAATAAATCCTTTTGTGGCAAACAAGAAAAAATGCCCTTCTAATCACATTGTTAAATCCAGGTTCTGTGCAGATTGGGCAGGAGGGTTTGGTTCCACAGGTGTGGGGATTTCAAAGGCCCTGCTCAGGCTTTACCCATCAGGGCAGCTCAGCAGAGCAAGACTGAATCCTTGCATTCAGTGTGTGTTAAGCTGAGGAGAGGGAAGGTCACCTGGCAGGAGCAGTGCAGCAGAATAGCAGGGCAGTTCTGGGGCAGAATGAGCCATTTCACAGGGTTTGGAGATAATTAGGAGGCTGTTATCAGTAAAAGGGGTTATCAGCCAATTTGAGACAGTGCTGGCCAACCTGAGCTAGACAAAGGAATGCTCTGGAGCTTGGCTTTATTTCAATATTCCATGATTTCAAACACAGCCCTGTGCCAGTGCTGCATTAACAACACTGATGTGACACAAACCATGGCTGATAATGCCCCAAAATGGAAACCATGCTGTGGCTTTCAGATCTAACACTCCCACATCCACCAGTTAAAATAATTCTCTGTGTGATTTTGGCACCTTTTGTGCATCCTTGAAAAAAAATATATTCAGTGTTTATTTAAATATAAATACACAAAACAAGTGTTTGTTTTAAAGATAATTTTATGAGCTTTATTATGGATTTCTGGGCATCCTTGTTGACTGACTCCATGCTTTGCCTTTGTGGAGTATTTTGCCCAGGGGAGCTGTGGCTGCCCCTGGATCCCTGGAAGTGTCCAAGGCCAGGTTGGACAGGGTTGGACAACCTGGGAGAGCAGGAGGTGGCCCTGCCCATGGCAGGGGGTGCAGTGAGATGGCTTTAAGGCCCTTCCCATCCCAAACCACTCTGGGATTCATTTAATGACAGAAAGTGTTAATACTAAGTACAATCTGCTATGATTACTCAGGGCATAAAATCTTCTCATAATTCCCATTTTTCTGTCTTGCCAAGCGTCACCCATGGAAGGATGTGCCTCCTCCAGGCTTGTGAAGCTGTTCTTGAGCTGGTGTTCCCTTCTGCTGGGGGGAGCAGGCCTTCCTG